ACACTCAGAACAATACATGGTAGACACTCAATTGTTATTTATTAAATACATTGTTATCATATGCTCTTTTACTTTTTCCAGTTAGTTCATATTTATGTCTTGTTCAAAGTCCTTAGACATCTTTTTTTTATTATTATTTTATGGTTCCATTTTCAAGAAGAAATTCTTCCATACTGTTGCCATTTTGCCTTAACCATATGGCTTCCAACATGGTCTTAGTACACAAAGATCAGCTCTTATGGCCAGGAAGTGCCTTGCACATATTCCTGTATCCCTGCATACATTATCCATTTACTACACTAACGTTCTTTGAAGTTTCGTTTTTTTTTTTTTTTTTTTTGAAAGAAAAGTGATATCCCCATGTCAATCTTACTTAAGCTACACTATCTTTTAAATTCTGCTCACCTTCTGCTATACCCTGGGCACCATTTTTAGTCATAAGGACATAGAGATTAGAAAGAAACCTGAGCATTATCATTTTTGAAATGATGTGGGACATGAGAGGAAGCGGTGCTGTGTTTGGGTGAAAAACCCCAAGTTCAAGAATTCTAAGTGGGAATCTGGTCTTCTTGGTTATTGAGAAGGCATATTTCAAAGTGACAGTTTAGGTTTGCTTCTTAAGGAGATAGAAACATGGATCCTCATTTACACTCTGATCCTAGGTCTTGCAAATGTTAGAAGGGATCCTTATCTGTCCCCTTACCAGGGTTGGCTTCTAAATCCCAGCTTCTTTAACTGTAGTCTGTAAGTCCATTTGGGATCTTGCAACTAGATGTAGGTTCCTTCAAACTTGGCAATAGTATTATTTTCTGACCCCAAATTATGTGAAAAACACCTGGTAAATCTGGGCTATTTCTGGCAGCCTCATCTGTGTTGTACTTGACACCGGGAGAGCCTTCGTTCTGGGTGCATGTGCACTCTGTATGACCCTTGCTGCTGCTTTTCGATGCACTGCCGAACGAAGACTGGTGCTTGAGACATAGATATACACAGCAAACTCTCTGATGTTTCACAGCCACATGGTCTCCTTGTGGGAAAGATCCTTTTAAAGAGCTGGGAGATGGCTTAGTGGTTAAGAGCACTTAATTGTTTTTCCAGTGGCCCAGGTGTGATTCCCAGCATCTACACGATGGTCAACAACTGTTGGTAACTCCAGTTCCAGAGTATCTGACACCCCTTTCTATCTGCTTAAGAACTGCCTGTCCACAGTGGCACAGACAGTGCAGCAAAGCAGCCATAAACAGAAAAGACACAATTTACAAAAGACTTTTAACAATTTCCTGCCGTGATTCTTCAACATGTAAGGATACAATGAGTACATTTAGAATGCACTGTGATGAGAATATTTGATTTTAGCCATTGCTGTCCAACTTGCTAATTTGAGTTTCCTGAATCATGGCTAAATATTGCCTTGGGATTAGGGTAGGCTTTCCTTTTCTGGGATGGCACTGTTCTTATCAATGGCAATAGTAATATCAAAATATTGAGATATGAAAATCACTGGAGATGCTCTGTGTCCTGTAATATCAAATTTTCTGCCAAAATTGAATTTCTCTGTAAAAGTAACTAAGCACATCCACCTCACTCACTAGCATGCCAATTTCCTTTTTTAAAATAAAAGGGAAAGTTATTTTTATATGAAAAATTATTTTAATTTTTTAAATTAAAATTTGACAAATATTTGTTGTGTATGTATGTGCAATAGCATGCACCATGGGACACATTTGGAGGTCAGAGGCCAGCCTCATGGACTTGGTTATCTCCTCCCACAGTGTGAGCCCCAGGGATGGAATTCTGGTTGTCAGGTTTGTCTGCATGCACTTTTAGCAGCTGAGCCGCCTCTACTGCTATAAAACGAACTTATTTATGATGTACTATGAGCAAATGTTTGGTTTGTGTGCCTTTTTATATACTTATATATCCAGGGCACTGTAAAACGTTCTTACACAAAAGGGGTGTAAATGAAAAAGGTTTAGGAAGCTATTAAGTAGGGAGATGCAGTCATTCCCATAAGAAAATCAACTCCATCCTAAAGCAAGATTTAAGGATTTCTTTGTTTAATTTTATTTTCATGAGTATTTTGCTTATGTGTATATATGTGTACATTGTGAGCATCTGGTACCCACAGAGACCAGAAGGAAGTCACATCCCTGGAACTGGAGTTACAGATGGTTGTGAGTCTCCATGTGGGTGCTGGGAACCTGTGCTCTGCAAGAACAGCAATTGCTCTTACTACTGAGTTATCTCTCGAACCTCTATTTTATACTTATAAATGCCTTTTAAAATATCAAGACGCTATTTCCTGCACATGAAAATACATGAAACCCAAGTCTGAATACGCAAACTGTCTCATCTGAACACTGTCCGTATGTGGTGTGAAAATGCCACTTTCACACCACAATTGTAAAGTGGTTAACTGTGGCATATTGTAGGCTGGAAAATGAAAAGTTCTTGCTCTCTGGCCTATGCAGAGAAAATGCTACCTGCCCCTACAGTGGACCTCAGGTTGGAGGAGACAGTCTAGCAGTTCCCACACTGGCTGCACAATACAATCACCTGTTGAGTTCCCAAAACAAATCAGTGCCAGGTCCCCACCCTCAATAATTCTGGAGTGAATTGGTTTGGGGTGGAGGTGCTTTTAAAACTTCCGGGTAATTCCAACAAGAGTTGAGGCTGAAAGCCACTGGATCGGCGATGACTTCATGGGCTTCTGAATTTCTCAAGCGTTAGGCAAGATAGTCACAGACCGTGTCTGCTTGGAGAGCCTAGACTGCAGCCTTTCTTTGGAGGAAGCCCAGCAGTTACTGAGGCTGAAGGAAAGAGAGAATTTGTTTCTCTCCATGGTGTTATTTATAAAGCTCAGTTTTGAGCTTCTCGCGGCCCTTGAACTGGTAGTTCGGACATGTCCCCGGACTTCTCGGCACCGTGTACATGTGTTAGGCAGGCCCCCTTGGGCATCATAGCACATACCTTTTCAGGAATCCCAGTTGGGTCGCTTTTCAGGATACATCCGACAGACCACCCTCATTTTGTCTTTGCAGTATGCCTTCTCTAATTATTGGTGGCCTCACAGGGAAGGGGGAAAAAGACAATTTTACCAGAATCCCATTCCCAGCTGGTTCTGTCAGCCCCATTGGCACAGGATGGCTCTGGGGCTGCGAGGCTGCTCTGAGCTATTATTGTGCCTGGCTTGGTCTCAGCACGACCCAACGCAGACAATACAGCACACGGAGAGCATGAGGGATGAACAGTAAATACAAGACCTTGGATTTCTTTTTTAATCTTGTCAGTTTTTCCCTGATTTGTGTCCTTTATCGTAGCCCCTCTGCTATATAAGCTTCTCAAATCTAATGCCCATAACGCCACCACCCACTGGTAGCAGCAGGCTGCGGGGCCACTGTGGGGTTCTCATTGCAGGTATTTACAATGCCTGCCATTATTCGGCGACTGTACGTGTTAACCCAGTGGCATAAGGTTGCTCCAACACCTTCCCCTCTGGTTTCTCTACACTCTGGGGGCCGAGAGCAACTACAAGAGTGCTGTCCTCCAGACTGGAACTGCCTGGCTCAGAAAGCACACATCACATCCTGCTATAGATGGAACAGCCCCTGCAGGAAAAGAAGGAATGCTGGGTAATTATGGAACTCAGAAGGTGCTTGACATTTCTGCCACCACTTTAAGAAAGTTAAAAATATTTCTCAGATGTATTTCTTTGCCTTTTGTAGATTCCAGTCCTCCATCCCCCTTTGGCTTATTAAGAGCTCTTGTGATTAGACCAACGGTGGCATGCAGTCACAATCTACAATGAATGCTCTCTAGTTGCTGCAGCTGCTGGGAATGACTCCCAACCGAGGCCACATAGCTGCTTGGAAGTGAAAGAGGACCCTACTTTTTGCTTCTCTGAAACACCTTCCTAGATCAAGTAATTCTTTTTAGACTTATGGAGCTTTCGTTGCTTTACACAGTAACTTATGGATCCCTACATTTACAAAGTATTGCTACTTTGGCTATTGTGAAGGCCACCTTTAAACAGCCCCCTGTCTCAACATACAGAGCAACTGTCTCAAAATGAGTTTGCCCCTAGCACAGGTGCTTTACAGACAGCAGGGCAAGCAGCTGGGGGCTGAGGAGCTGTTCACATGTGGGATTCACATAGGCTAAGAACTGTTTTATTTAATTATAGAAATGTGACTTTTAAGAGGACTTAAAAACAGGAAACCCAGTGGCTACAGAAGAGCAAAGGAAGGAGAGCCTTCTGCTCTTGGTGTGTAGGGGTTTGCAGAGAGGAAGCCAGGTGCCTGGGTCTTCCTAAATGGAATGTAGACCTGCAAACACCTTCAAATCGGCAAATGCCCTCTGTCTACTGAAAAGTGTATTTGTCATGACTCTCATTAATAACTTGTAAAATCATTTGGGCATGTTTGGGGTTATGACAGATCCAACAAGGTGACAAGAGGAAAAGGATGTATCTCCCAAGTTGTCAGTATTCTAATGTGGGCTGCCAGCACTGCCCTGCTCACTTGGGCATGGGGACCCTCTAGGTTGTGTCACAGATACACACCAGCTGGATCTACCAGAACAGTACAGCCTCTCCCAGAATGTCCGTGGAGCCTTACAGGATGTCAGGGGAGAGCCACCCACTCACCTCAGATGGGAACATGGTAAGGCTAGAGAAACTGAGTAAAAGATTGAAATGACTGCAATTAATGAATAGAGAGACTCCAAATGTACCTGAGCGAGGTAGAACACGGGGAACCTGGGCACAGGGCCAGGGGAAGGCCTGCAGCTCACAGCCTTGACTCACAGGGCCCCTGAGTTTCTACCAAACTTTGCACAGCAAAGCAAGAAAGGGGAAAAGACTTACAAGAAATCTAGAACCCTCCAGGAACCCACTTGTTCCCATATGTTGTGCATCTGGTCTCTTCCATCACTCTTTCAGAAGAACTGTGCTGAGTCTTAAGCTATGTTGGACACACACAAATATGTATCAAGACGCCATCTGCAGATTCGGCTATACTTTATTCCATATCATGTTACAGAAAACAACAATGACAGCTGACAAACCATTACATCCTTCATAACACAGACAAATTACAATTGGCAACACATATGCGACACGTAGTATTCCATTCTCCTTGCTATGTGTCATGTTGAAGCATAATGAGTCTCAGAGGTACTAACCCCATTAAAAAGTACACATCTCAGTGCATCATATAAACAAGGGGGGGGGCAAGAAATGAAAGGAAACAAGAAAAATCCGAAAGTCCACTCACGAACAAAGAATGTAGATTTTATATGTGCCTCTATTATATGCTGCCGTGAGAGGGGGCAGTGAGAATAGGAAATTGCTTATTTCATTTGAGATTTTAAAATTTTCAGCTTGGTATATGAGGAAACAGAAGACTAATAGTTTCCTCTGTGTACAAGCCAGGAACAGAGAAGGAAGTTATACACAATTATGCAGCATATTTCTATGTATAGGGGCAGGCAACAATCTACCCTGGTATGTACAACCTAGACATCCTCTTATATAACAGAAGATTACAAACCAGTAATATTCACAGATGGGTGTCTGCCATGGACACATACACAGGGTACTGATTACAGTGGTGTCGTATGCACACAGAGGAAAGGGTACCACGAGGTACTGGTTTTCCTACATTCCCACAGGCTCCCTTGGAAACTTTTCTAGTCACTTGAGAGCTAGAAATGAATTCTCATCCTTGCATGGTGGGTAGACAGCTGGCCCTGCCTTACACCTCTAATTTTTTGCCTAGTACAGCAAACACATTTTTGCATCCTGTGTATCTTGTATTTCTTAACTAATTAAACTGTTCCCCTTAAGAAGATGAAAATTAAGTCCCCTACTACCTTTCCAAATACTGTGTGTAGTGAGGCTGAGTTGATACAATCACCATGCCAAGGTGTTCATGCTATTCTTACCAGCTGTCCAAACTCAAGCTATTCCTTCATAGAAAAATAATCTCGCCAAGCATTCCAGTGCTTTTTCGATAGTATAGTAACATGTTAATGAACACAGTCTCTACCAATTTTCACAATACCCTCAGAGAGGGTGGGAGAGGAAAGTAGGGGAGGGGGAATATGACTGTGCTAGGCTGGAGTTGGGCAGACACTTTGGATTTCCTTCCTTGATGACAAGGACCGGAAACTGAAACCCTTCTAACCAGAGAGGTGTGCCTGACTTGAGGCAGACCTCACACTGAGCAGTGCTGTGTCTCACTTCCCAGAAGCTGTCTAGACAAGGGCACGGATCTCTGGTTGTCTTTACATTCTTACTTGAAACCTTTCAACATTAGCATGGAGCTCCTGACTTATACTTAGTGAAATATACACATGATGGGCTCCCCTCCCCAGATGAATGGAGGATTCTAAGCAAATCACAGGGGAGGCTGTTTTTTTAATTACACATAAGGTTTTCTCCCCACTTAAAGAACTCCCAATTTAATTATACTTTAACTCAAAATACCTGTAAAGACTTCCCATGGAAGGAATTATGAAAGGGGACTGAGAATCATTCCCAGGCAGCTAACAGTAAACACTGTCAACTTGCGTGACACTTTTGCCTTCTTTCAACCCATTCAGGAAGCAATTCCTTGCTTAGCATCTGCAAGATTGCAGTTACTGCTCCCTCTGGATAGACAAGGGGGTGGGTTATGCCTATGACTCAGAGGCAATGCCTTTGAAATCTAGGAACCTGGCTCTGCTTCCAGGGACACACTGGGTTTGACTACAAAGAAGCCTATTTCTCATTTGAGAATCAGAAAGCCCTTGTCAAACTGCATCACAATTCCTTGTCTTGATCCTAAAACTGTGTGACACATTTCAAGCTCATAGTTTCTCCTCTTTTCTCTGGAGTAGTAAAACATAGAACAATGGGCACAGATGCGTTTCCATGGGGATTTGTGTCAGGAAGTGCAAGAGGCATGCTTTATGTGAAGTTTCCTAACTGCCCCTTGCACCCGGCTTTACTGGGGCTCTATAGTGAGGCTACCTGTGGAAGAGGCCAGCACTAGGTAGCTCCCCACAGATCAAGGTGCAATGTATGCTAGAGTCCTCTCTCCCAGTAACTCAGACCTGCCTTCATCTTCCAAGGTTCCCAAGCTCCTTCAAAAAAAGGGAAGCCAGTTCTCTTTTGCCATTTCTATTTTAAAGCAAAATTCCCACATTGCTTTTTAAGAACTGAATTTGAACAGTTATTGCAGGAGACTGGTTGAAAGTCTGGCACCCAGTGATGACTTCGGAACGGCTTGGAATGTTTCTGAGCAATCTAATTCAAAGGTGCTTTGTTGTAAGTGAGCAAATTTTTAACTCTAGATAATTTTTAAATTTGCTTTTTAAGCGTTAATCGGCCAAGATGGCTTCCAAGACTAACCCTTGACAGACAGACTTTTTCTTTTTAATTTGCACCCAAGTTTTAAGAAAGATATTCCTTACTATTTTCTCCAGTTAAAAAAACACGGAGCATAACAGAGCTGGTGGAAAAAATAAGATGTAGACAAGACTCAGAACACATGTAAAAAGTTGCCTTGTTTTCTATAGGTTAAAAAAAAAAGTTAGCCTTCATCTTTGTCTTTGTTCTTGGTGCTTGTTTCTCTACCCACAACCTGCTCAGAAACAGCCAGGCTATTGAAAATGATAAGCAGATTCTGGTTTCCTATAAATGTGGGGACATTTCCAATAAAAAGAAAACCCCACATTTCCAAACGTCCTCAAAGGTAAGCAACAGGTTGGGCCCACTGTCTGGGACCATGCAGTCTAGTCAGTCAGAAAACACGGGGTTTGTTTTAGCAGTAAGAATGTCCTTCTTGGTGGCTACAGAATGTACTCTGTTCTCAAAGAAAACACACATTGTTTCATGCCACTGTGTGGCTTTCAAGTGCAGACATTACTGAGGAAGTGTGAACACCAAATGTGTTGTCTTAATGTATTTAAGACATGGCTGGTGAAAGCATAAAAACCTTCACAGAGACACTGTGCAGCAGAGGGAAGTCAAACAGAATCAAACACAAAAGACTGAAAAGAATACATGCCATGTATCAGTAAGCAAAGCTTAATCTTCACATAGCTCTTGGAAATCACAAGGTATCCAAATGCGTGCAAGGTTTTAAATAAATTGCAGAGAAAACAGGGTCTTGCCAGCTTCAATTTTCTTGTAAGTGAAATCCACCACAGGGGGCAGAAGGGAACTGATCCAGGAGCCCCGCACTGCTGGCCACTTCATTAGTGTTTTTTATTTTTTTTATTATTTCTTCTTCTTTTTCTTCCCAGAATGATGACAACTTAATCCTGCAAGAAGGAAAGGAGAAAATTGTTACATTAAGAAAAAAACTTACATCATTCATTTTTACTAAATTACTTGGGACATTAAAATTGGTCAGGCCAAATTGAGCCCACCGCTGCGCTCCATAGCTCCACGGCTCCATGGAGCACACACATCAGAGGTAGAACAATTTCCTTTATGAAAACACTTCTTAAATAAGATAAACAAATGTTCCATCCATATTTTCTTCCCTTGAAATACTGTAACTCCGTGAATTTAAATGGGTAAATTCCTTTTGGACTATTTAGAGAAAAATGCATCCAGCTAAATTCCCTTCCTAACCTATTAGAGGCAATGCTGATCTTAACTAAGTGACCAGAGCACTAGAACATTAGAAGGACAGATCATCATGTTTGTTTGTATGAATTCGAAAGAGAAAAGTGGATCCCACACATGCTTTTAAAACCAGTCATATAGTTCCTTGGTTGCCTGTTATCAGTTATATTAGATTCACCAGAATGAAGCTGGATGGCCAGCATGGCACCCCCTTCCCAACACCCTACATAAGCCTTCATGCTTCCAAAAACACCAGCCTGAAAATGGGAACCCACTGTAGGCAAGGGTATCAGTGAGAATGAAGCAACCTTCCTTTCCATTCTTTTTGTTTTTGTTTGTTTTTGTTTTTCCAGACAGGGTTTCTCTGTGGCATTGGAGGCTGTCCTGGAACTAGCTCTTGTAGACCAGGCTGGTCTCGAACTCACAGAGATCCACCTACCTCTGCCTCCCGAGTGCTGGGATTAAAGGTGTGCACCACCAACGCCCAGCCCTTTCCATTCTTTTTAAACAGCTCTTATTCGTCTTTGTTGAGCACCCTAGGTAGGAAAGGGTATATCTAGCTTTGCGAAGTGTGGGACTCCCTAAGTTCAAGTTCCCCAGTTGAAGGAGTTGATGCGTCATCAGCCCCATGTCATCTCAGAACCCATTTGTCAACTAGGCTTAGAAGCTTGTTCCTGGTCACTGCCTAGCCAGGCCTGTCTGTTATCAACTATAGGAACATTTGTCATCTGGCTGGACATAGGATAAACGGTGGCCAAAGCTGCTGCCACAGGTTTGACTATGCCAGAGATCTTACACACTCAACCTGATGCTGCTCCCATGGGCAGCAGCATTGAGGACATGGAATCTCATTCACCGCCTTGCAGTGAACTAGCAGTGAATGAGCCAAGAGTGCAAAAAGTGCCATTCTTAGATGCATGAGACCATCGTCCCTATCCGCTACTGGTCTTCACTTACTCTGGTGAATTTTTAGAATTTTACCCTCACCTACATTCTTTTTTAATGGAGGTAAAATTCATATAACACAAAATAAAACATTTCAAGGTGCATAATTGGGTGGTACTTAGGCCAATCACAATCTGAGCAGTCATGGTCTCTATGCAGTTTCAAATATTTCAGCACTTTCCACGGAGACTCGACAGCATTTACAGTAGTTGTTCTCATGGCCCCTTGCCCTGCCCACAGACTAGCACCCACTCTCTTCCTGTCTCTATGGTGTTGCCTATTCTGAGTAGTTCATCTAAGAGGAGTCAGACAATGTGTGACTTGTTGCATCTAGCAGCTTTCAGCTAGCATAATGTTTTGAAGGAACACCATGTTGTAGTATGTATCAGTACTTTATTATCTTATAAAATGTTTGAGTAGTGCCTCATTATATGGCTATATCACATGGGCCTTACCTGTCAGTTAATATATGCTTGAATTGTATTACCCCGTGGCTACTGTAAATAAAGTTACTATCAACACCAATGTGGTACTAGAGTGTTTGCTCTAGTACCTGATTTGAATTCCCCTGGTTATACAACTGCAGGTGTAATTCCTGGGTCAAATGGGAATTCTACTTTTAAAGTTTTGGGGAACCGACAAAACTTTCCATAGTGAGGCTCTGTTTAGCTCCCCACTTGCAATGAAGAAGTGCTCCAATTTCACCATACCATTGTCAACACTTGTTTGTTTTCTCTTCATTTTAAACAGTATTTATTCTATTATGGCAAACTGACTTATTTCCTTTGACTTGCCATTTTCCTAATGGTTAGTGGTGTTGAAGACATTTTAGTGAGCTCATTTGCCATATGGAAATGTTTCTTCAGAGAAGTATCTACATAAGTCATCTCCTCACCTTATAGTTTATTCTGTGGCTGCTGAGTTGCAGCTCTTTGTGGACTGGGGACAATAATTTTTCATCAAATATACAACTTTAAAATAACTTTCTACCATGGATTGCCAGTAACAACGTCCTTTGGATTTTAATGAAGTTCAATTTACATATTTCTATTTCGTTGCTTATATTTTTGGTGTCACATTTAAAAACACAGAGCAAAATCTAAAGTTTAGATCCTATGTTTTCTTCTATGATTTCCTACAGTTTAGGTGTTTTTTTTTTCATTCATTTCATGCATTTTGGATATGGCGGGAAGTATGGATCACCTTCTATTCTTGAGAGTTCTCTGCCACCTGACTGGATGGGAGGTAAATCAAAGCCTCCGATCATGTTTTCTGGAGAGGTCTCGGTCTACACAGATACCACACATAAGTGCTTTGCTATCTCCAAATCTTAACTTACCCATTGCTATTTCAAATGTTTGCTGCTCTGAGTAGCATTCTCTATCCACAGGAATCCACCCCTCACTTCCACCCCGAGGCACCTTTATTAAGTCTTTTCTAGAAGTCACTACTACAGCACAAGTAATAGCAGCTCCTAGAGCCCCACCCAACTTCTTGCAGAGAAATAGAGAACATGTACTTGGCTCCATTTGCATTGTTATGAAAGCACACATTCTAGCTATGCATGAAAATTCTTTCGGAGGTCCTCGAGATCAAGGAGAGAGAACACTTATCCCTACACTGTTTCCACAACACTTTCTATTTCAAGCTTCCTTTTCCAGTTTCCATCTCACTACCAATTTTCACCTTTTTTATTAAGAAAATAACAGAGATGTCCATTTTATTCCATAGAGTTTTAAAAGAATGAGATTCCAACTCTTTCAGGTAGCCTATCCGTCCCTCCATCCAGAAGAGCTGTATTTGTTTGCTGCTGTTGTCAACAAATGCTTGTCTAGGCATGCGACCCTATGGTTCTCTCCAAATGATGCAGTCTTTGCTTGACTCTACTTCTTCTTACCAGGAATGGCAGGCAGGATTTATTCTTTGGTATAGGAAAAACATATTTTTTTTACTCCACTATATTATATTCAAAAGGAATGTTTTGATTTCCAATATATGTGACTTCACATAACAATAAGTGGTGCCAACCCCATACACTTTCCTACCCTCTCGAGTTCATTAAAGATGTTTTCTACAAACTGATACTGTTTATTTGGTCTTGCATTTTCCAGATTCTGACTGCAATCTATAGGAGAATCATATATGCCTAAGCTAAGGTGTAGTAGAATTAGAAAGTAGGGGCTAATATACACCAGTAGTAACTGGCTGGTAAGTGGTGAATACCATGATTATGGAAAGCCCATTCCTTAGCTTTGGGGTCTGATGTTTAGTGGAAGAATCTAAGAGTAAGAAAATAGAGGGGGTGCCAATGACAGCATGCCTCCCATCTCTGTGGCATGATTCTGAACAGCTCATGGTGTACCATCTTCCCTGCCTGATGCTTTTACAGAGCACTCATCCTCTCACCTTGGGCATCGTTAGCTCAAGTTTTACTGAAAGCACATAGAACATTTTTAGAAATCTTTAAGTGCAATCAAGTCTCTCATGGGTGGGGGGACTTAGGCTGAAGTAACGAAGATATACTTGGACAGGAAAGTAAAATATGATGTAAATGTAAATCTCCCTTCTATACTTGATTGTCAACTCAAGTACGTCACACGCACAATATAGATGAAGACGATATAAGTGAATAAAAACTATAAGCTGAATGGTCCGTGTATATAAATTTATATACCACTCCTGGGTATACAAATCATAAGACAGGTGGGTGGGTGCCATTTTTATCCAGTTTTCAGTTTTCACAATGAGCTTTCTCTAAAATGAATGTTGTAAAGAAGAAATTGGATTCGATTGATAAAAATCCTTATTCAGAAGTATCTACTTAGAGCTTCTCAGCTATAAATATTAATTAATTGGATCACTGGTACCCATAATGCAACTTTGTTCTGACCCAAGTGCCCTATGAACTAGATATTTTTTTGGATTCAATTTTCTTAAAACCAACTGTCAGCATCACGTGATAGACGAGATGAGAAATGAAAATGAGGCGTCCTGCTGTGCAGGTGGGTGACCTGTGGGAGAGAGTCTGCCTGGTAGGATTTCTACACCAACCATCAGACACAGACCAATTGATTAGATCATCTCATACCCGCCACCAACTAGGCTCAAGAGACTAATTAGAGAGAGTACTGCCTGCGCGGGCACCCCATTGACACCTAATTTGCTCAGCCAAAGCCTTTGGGGAAAATGTATTATCTCTGCAGCTGCCCTTCATGCATTTCTGATTTGAGGCATAAGCAAGGAGTGCTCCATCACTCTTTTGAGCCAGCTGAATGTAGAAGCCCTTAAGTGCTAAATGCAAGCAAACAGACTCAAATTAAAAACAGGCCAGGCTCTTTCTAATTCCCTCTGTGCTCTCTGATAAATCTTTGTGTGTACAGACACACGCCACTACACACATGCACACCGTTTACATGCCAGAGGGAGAACAGAACCGAGGCCCCAGATCAGGGTGTTCCCACATAATCAGGTGGCCTGTGTTTCACGCTGGTCTGTTTATCCTGTCCGAGGTTTTGTGTTTACTTTTGTTGTGGGCTCTCCGGACCCTACCCCTCTACCCTTGTCTGCTCACTGTCCCTCCTCAAAGTATCCTTTTCTCTCCAGGAAGACTTTTTCCAAAACACTTTCCTCTAAGCCTCAGCAGAGAAAAATGATTATTTTGGTTCAAAATTCAAACAACTGTATGCTTTCCTTTAATCACCTAAGTTAGGACAGGATGCTGCCAGGTTGCTGGTGTGGTCGAGGG